GGGGGATCCCCCACACAGCCGTTCCCTTAAGGGCAGCGGGATAATCTAGTGAATAAAAAAGTTAAATAATTCGGACAATCGTTTCAGTTCTGTGGGTCTCTTTATCAGCATGAAAACCTGACTTACCTGGTAAAACATRACAAGTAAATATGAAGTTGAATCAATATTTTAATATATAAAAGTAGTTAGGATACAGACATGCTCATAAAAAGCATAACAACTTGTTTTGGAAACTTTGCATTAGTCTTTGTCCCAATATTAAGAGCCTGCTGTACAAATCTGAGCAAAGGAGGACTTAGGCAATGCTTGGTGCCTGTTCCATGCCTTCTATTCCTTAGAGGAATCCACACCTGGAGCTGTGTTTCCAAGTGTAAAGGCAGAAATGGATTCCTGAGAAATGTGACCCAAAACCCTCAGATGAGAGGGGACTGCTCAGAGCTATCTGAGGGTGCGTGGGGGGACCCCGGTATGAGGGGTTCTAGGTCTGTAAGTTGGGTCAGCACAGGGTGGGCAACTCCAGGTGGACATCCTGAGATGGGGCATCCCAAGATGAACCTACTGAAGCCACATTGGGAGTGCTGYGTCCAGTTGTGGCTTCCTCAGGACAAGAGAGACCTGGAGCTTCTGCAATTCTCAAAAGATTCATTCTGGTCTTTTACCCCCTTAGCAGGGAACTTTTACATTTGACCCTCCCCTTTTTTTTTTGTTTCAAAGGGTAAAGCCRCACAACACAGCACACRCCAAAGTAAATTCRGCAGGAAGAACATTGCAATTGTTTYGTCTAGCTCTAGCAGGACACAGACATTGTTAGGACAAAATAATTTCAAACTGCCCAACACAATTAAGGAAGGAAGGGAAAAACACCTAAAAAAGGTAATGACAAAACTGAACACTTGGGGAAATAGTGAAAGAGACTCAGTTTAGACAGTTSTGCTCTTGACAGCACTGCCTTATCTATTCCTCCTACTCCCTTTCAGAGGAGTGGTAGAGTATCAAATTGAACACTCAAATGCTGTGGTCACTCWGAGGTTGGTTCAACAGAGCTGGATTGAGGTCAACAATCACCACAGTTTGTCAGATTGTGGCACTACCCGAGGCTGAGAAGTGACAGAAAAAAGTGATTCACTGACACAATTCTCTGACACCTTTGGATCTCAGTTTCTGAGGTCAAAATGGTTTAAACTGATAGCTGGGCATTTAAACAGATGTGCTAACACAATTTCTGTGTGTTTCTGAAGATAAGAGAGGGAACCAGTCTCACAGTCTCATTTCTGACAGAATTTGCAGCAGTAGAAATAAAGGTTTTGTCACATAGTTTCATATATTACCTAATATTAAGGAAAATAATTTAATAGAAACTGCAATATAATGTGCTTCAGAGTTTTTGGGGAATGGGAAATAAATCCCAGTCTTCAGTCTCTTTGTTACTTAGTGGCAAGGTAGTCAATCTTTCACAGCTTCATTTATTTCCTTCATTTACAAAAAAAAGTTACAAATCAAATCAGGGCAGTTTTAAGGGAAAACTGTTCCAGCTGTTTGGATCAATACAGAAGGAAGAAAARCAAATAATACAATGGACAAGAGAATGGGCCCAAAATAATATKATAAATTTTGGGACAGAGGGAAGCCAAGTCCTTGGCTGTGTTTTTACCACACTGCCAGGGCCAGACCCTTGTGCACTGTAGTATCAGAGGTTACACAGTAAAAAAATTAGATGCTAATGTCATGTTACATCAGATTTTCTTTTATTACCCTCTATTCCTTTTCTTTSCAATAACTTAGTGCTAATAAGGATGACTATTTCCTCTGTGTCCCACCAGGGTCTTACTGCTCTCTCAGCATCTGGATTGTCCAGCAATCACGCAGCATTCCAAGGCACTTCTGATACAGGAAGCACTCTTTCTTAGTATCTCTGTAAAGAGATCAGAATTAATCAGTAGCATGACACRCACTCACCATTTGCTATTAAAATAATCTGTATCTAATCAAACTACATTTATATATATATTTCTTTCCTTAGAGTGTGCTACTTCTGAGTCTGCACTCACAAAAAGCTTTGGGAGATGATTTTCATGCAAATAACTGAAAGCATTACTACTGTGTGCACACAAACTGCAACAGCTTTGGAAATATTTAAAAACATTTCAGCAGGGTCTGTAATATTCCTGAAGAAAACACCTGCATAGTGAAAGGTAGGCTTTCTATCAGCTCACATCTTTGCTTTGTGACAAATACTATCAATTTAGTGATGATTTGTATTCAGTACCAGCATAGATGTTATAATTAATATGCAGATTGGTGTAATTAATATGCAGAGTATATAATTAATATGCAAAGGGATGCAATTGATACATACCTGGTACTGTCTCGCRTCTGGATAAACTGGGTAAGGCAAATCCTTCCTGGGGTACTCAAACTGCTCCCGCTGGGCTTGGGAGTGAGGGAAATAATCTGGTGCTGGATCTGCTCTCCTTAGAGGCTGAGCATACACAGGACTATGCAAAAGAGAAAAGCGTTATTAAAAACGTTATAATGCACTGCAAATTGCATAAAGTGTTAGTTTAAACTGAAATATAAAAGTATTAAAGCTCATGACTGCATGATTTTACTGTCAAACCCTCATCCTGCAAACACAAAGAGTGAATTATAGATGCAACGTTCTCTTTAAGCTTTTCTTTTCACTGTCACAGTGCCACGCTACCTAATTTTCTATATTCCTACCATTGTTTTCAAAGTATTTTAAATTCATGATAGCCATACCTTCAACATTTTCAACATTTATATTAGAAAAAACCAGATCTCCCTGAGGGACTGAAATAYCAGCAAGCTCCAGCCTGTCTCTGCAGCAGAACCCTGCTATGTGTGAGGAGAATGTTGTGTTCTCACTGAGCTGCGCCCTGACGTACAAGTTCTCTGCAGAAGTTGCAGTAAGAGCTGCAGCAGCTGGCTGGGTGCTGAGGAGAGGTTCAAGTGAGGAAGCACAARCAGGGAATCTGTGTTTCTAAATAGTAATGAAATGAATACCTCTAGGATTCGAGAAAAACCGGAGAAGCCTCTGGATAAATCAGTATTTTAGGATTTGTGTGTGAATAATCCAGTCAAAAGCTTTGCCATTTACTGGACCTTTGTTGCTTGCTGTGCCACTGGCAAAGCTGCAGTCAGAGTCTCCAAACCAGAGTATAAAGTGAAAACGAGCACAAAAGACACAAAATAGAAGCTTACCTGTAATTCTGCCTTTGATTTGGGATTGAGGCATCATCAAAATCTTGCCTTTTCAGTACAACTTTTGGAATTTGTCCAACCCAGGCATCCTGTGTGTAGGGGATCATGTGGTTACACAGAGCAAAATAACAATGAATTAGAATAAACCACTCTCCAGGTACAGTATGTTAGAAGATATAAACCAATTTTTTCCATACAAAATACAATGTCTGGGCAGCAACTCACAGTCTGGGGTGTGAGAAAGCCCTAGGTCCTGCAGCCCTGACCCAAAAATATTCCTTTTACAAAGTGTTTCCTTCCTTACTAAACTGCAGGATTGGGTCTGATTCACACCTTGGAAACAACAGCATGAGCAGGACTAAATTCCAAATTAGTTAAAAATTAAACAGCACCATCTCCTGGTAAAGRCAGGCTCAGACCTGGTGCATTGCTAAGATATTGATACTTTACAGATGGATTTAGAAGAAAATAATGCAGCAGACTAGATTATTTTCCTTTTCTCAGACAGCGCCTTCAATGCTATTTTTTCACATACCGGGTGCTCCTTAATATGTAAAATAATTCCTTGAAGTACTGAATGAGATAAGGCTCACACATATACACACAGATACTCCCTTTCAATGACTCTTTGTATTTCATATTGTTTTTTCATGGCATTTATCCACCTGTTCTCTGGATACCCACTGGTTCAAGCAATGATCTCTACTATATCTTCCTAACGGAGAAAACTGGCACAGCAGAGCATGATCTCTTAATGCTGGTCTTCTAACTGGCCAAAAATGGAAATATTTGTTTGAACATTGTGTTAAAATAATCCCTAGCTCTTGATTTTCTCCTATGCAAATCAGATTCACTTAATCCTTCATGAAGAGTTTCACCTTCTCAGATGCTGAGATTCAGCTGATCTTGGAAATCAAATGCTAAGAGATTTTAAACTAATTTTTTTTTTGCTATTCACATCCCATTGTGCTGAATTACAAATTCCTGGCTTGGCCCAGCCTGGGGGCTGTGCTGTGCTCCACTCTGACATTTCTTACCCCGGGTGGCTGCTGGTGYCTGTGTCCCAGGCCAGTGTCAGCACTGAATGCAGGGTTGTGCTGTGCTTCCCTGGATGGAGGCTTTGGCTGCTTCCTGGTGGGGGGAACAATGGGAATTTACAGCATTAGCAATGGTCAAGGGTCTTGACAAATCTTTTTGGTGCTGCAGATTGGTTCAACAGCCATGCCAGAGCTTTAGATTCCTATGGCAATAGCTGTACAAGAGCTGTGTATTATTACAGCTTTTCTGTGTCAGAGGAAGTACCAGTGACACTACAGGGGCTCAGTGAAAGAAAGAAAAAACCATATTGTCTGTGTACTTGGGAGAGGTATCACTGGGAAAAAGTACTGAGAGYAAAAAGCAGCTCAAATTGTCAATACCTGAGACCAAAGAGTGGGAGGAAACGTGTTTAAACAGCAAGCCTCTTGTCAAAGGTTATCGGTCTTACTCCTTTTTTKAAAAAATGTGGGGAAAAAAAGCCAATCCTTAAGAGCAAATAAATMAAAAATACATGTTAGGTAGTGTTGAATTTAAGTAGTAAATGTACTTATCAATCTTAAAGCTTGCCTGATGAGCCCTAAAGAAAAGCAATGATTGAGAGTGAAGTTATGCATGCAGTGGTAAAACGCTGAGTAAGTGTTGAGTGCTCAGGTAAGAGGCTTTGATTTAGTTTTGAATTGTGTAAGTAATATTTTGGCAGCATGACAACCTCGTGCTTTTAAACATCCGGAGGTTAAACATTAACTAGAATACCAAACTCCTTTTGCTCTACTTCCATTTTGATTATAGAACTTCTTAAAAGTGTACCCAGAGTCACTTACCCAGCTTTTTCACGTTGCAAGCAATAGAAAAAGGAAAATAGCGTAACCACTATGATAATCAGCACCACTTCAGGAATAGTAGTCACTAAAATGAAATCCAGAGTGTTCCAAAGGTGGTTACATTTGGGGCCCATGTACCAGTAATCCTTCCAGCCCAGTCTGTAATTATCACATCTGCAAATAAAAATTGTAATTTTTAGCAACAYCGTTTTAATTCAAAAGTAAGCAATACCAAAGAAGTACAATATTTTGCTATATAATAATTTATTATTCAACAGTGCAGGGGACAACAGATTCACTATTTTTCCTGTTTGTTATAGTTCCTGTTATTTATCTTAGTTAYACCCATCTGTTTCCACATGTGATACAGAAGTACTTTGCCAGGCTCTGGGATAACCAAGTCCAAGCTGGCATTTCAGGAGTCCAAGATAAGAAGCTTTGCTGGGAATAAGGTGCAGTACCCAAGTCATGGCCTGGCTCAGGGCAAAGATCTCTTTGTCAGCTGTGAGCATGGCAAAGCTGCTGAGGGGAAGTGAAATCTCACATTGCTGGCTGTCATTATGACATTGATTTTTTAAAAGGAAAAAAAAAATAACAACCATGTAAGGGAAAATAGAACATTAAGATATCTAGAAAAAAAATGAACTTGTCATTACACAGCTAATTTAGTTCTAAAGTAAAATATCTGAGASGACAAGGAGCACGTAAAAGTTAAGGATTACAGTGGTTACCTACATTAGGAATGACATAGCCCACATACATTTTTAAAAAGRAAACACTGTGCCCAGATCTCAGATTTGATGCTATAAGCTAATGCAGATTGTGAATGAAGATCAACATCTATTTTCATGGATCACTTTGCAGGGTCTAAATTTAGTTCATAATTTAAAATATATTTGACATGTACATGGTATACATTTAAACAAATAAACCAAGCCCACACACTACCTGCAAAAAGGTGCTCCATCTTTACACTGACAAGAAATATTGTGAGGACAGAAATCACTTGCATTACCCAGACAGGCCTTAAAGTTCCCAACTCCAGTGCAGTTGGCTGGGAATTAAAACAAAACAAGTACTTAATGCAATTATGCAGTAACATACTGTCAGTGGGCTGTGTTGCTAATTACACCAGAAATTTAAGCTTCATATGTACTCTGCATATACTAAATCTTACTTTCCAATGACTTGTCCCTTGAAAATTTTGAAGCTATTTGAGAAATGAAAATTTACCTGCTTAAATTACTTTGCCCTGAATGTGTACCCATCTTCCAGCTGGCCAGAAAATTGTATGGCTTATGTTGTTATGATTTTTATCAYGTCATTTAAGTGTGGTTGTGTCTGAATTCCACTATATATCATCTCTGAATTGTTTGCAAAAGTCATGAAATTCATTAGAGATTCCAACCTTCCAATTATAATCCAAATTGAAACCTTTTTGTGTGTTTTGCATTGGGATTGTTCCTTGGTTTAGCCTACAAAAGGATCTGGTTTGCATTAATGTTGGTTCTCCTCTCTCTCTTTTGCTGTGTAAACACTGTGGGCTGTAAATTATGTTTCAGAATCGTAGTGTTTACAGTATTTCACAGGTATCTGGCTGGCCAAAAATAACTTCCACARCAGCCTTCATGAGCCATCAAATGCCTGCACATTTGTCACTCCCACCCTCCATTCTTTGCTACCTGTTCCTCTCCTGTGCAGGACTCAGACTCAATGCCAGGCATCAACCTGAACACTCAAAAAAGCCCCTAAACTGCCAATAGAGCCAAGAATTGTGCACAACTGCTCCCAGKGAGAAGATCCACRTTTGRAATGAAGCCAGAGAGGCAGAACTGRATGAGATCTCTGARCAGACCCTTCYGAGCCCACCASGCAMCTGAGGGAGCAGCATGAATGGTGTTGCCATTGTCAGACTTTACAGCAGGAACAGAGTCATTATTAATGCATTATTAGCTAGATGAACTGTGCTGGGAGAAGTCTTCATTTCAAAAAAGATCCTCCCCACAGTCCTCCCCACTGTCCAAGTCAATCTAATCCAACATTTACTGTTAACCAAAGATAAATCTAAGTGATTGCAATCATCAAGTCTTGCACATTTGCATTGTTCTCCTGTTATTCAAAATAAACTCTACTTAAAGCCTAAGGAGAATTCCCAAGCAGCAATCCCTCCCAGTGGGACTGCAATGCCCCAGCAGCACTCCCCCAGTGGAGTGGACACGGCCACATTCCTTTTCTGACAAGCCACAAAGCAGAATTTCAGTCTTACGTTGTGAAGCTTCACTCAGCACGGGGTTGGCCAGGACCAGGACACACAGCAGGACTTTCAYAATGGACATCCTGGAGCCAAGTGGGGCAAAAGAGCTTTTCTTCCAGACTCTGCCAGCAGCAGAATGAACTTCCCTTTCTGCTACTGTGGATTGTGGATTTTGAGCTTTTTTTACAGCATCCTTCTCTATAAATAATTACTAATTAACTTAAAACTGATACAACTTCCTGATAACTTATCCACCATATTTTCCTTTATGAAGCAGGGTATTTCCATAAAAATACCTCATTAATCTTGTTCTGAATTTTTGATATCAGATATGCGGTATTCACTTAACAACGGAAATTTCAACACACTAAGGTATCTGTCAGGAGCATTTATTTATTCTCCTTTTAGGCTTACATTACCTATTACAGATAACAAACTTGGAATGTGTCTGCAGGCCAAGTTCCTGGAACAGATATTGTTTTTAAAGGCAGGATAAAGCCATGGTCCTGCAGCCAACTAAGAGGGAAGAGATGGCAAGGAGGGAATCTTGTAATTGGTTGCATCAACCATTAAGTTTTGTTAGTTAATTTTTCATTTTTCTGAGAAAAAAATAGAAAATCCCCCTCTGGCAAGGAGAAGTGACAACAGAAACTCTCACCTTAGCACAYCCCCTGTCATCTTGCCTCTTTATTATTTAAAGAGGCCTTAAAAATTCTCAACTCTCACAGCACAAGATCCTGACTATGTGGTCACGGAAAACTATACAGGATACACCCAAAGTTTTTGGAGTTTAACTGCACTGAGRTTGAAGTTAGTACAAGCATTGTTCTTAGGAYGGTGCTTTCAAAATTAATCCATAAYTGATAAAACCCCAGCATGGATTTCCTAATTTGACAGGAGCTGGATGTTTATGCAAACATGCCAACCACAGTTACATTAWCAGCAAAAGGTAAACTTTAACCTTTGCTTTTCAAAGGATAAATAATGATCTCTAAAAATCAATGCCTAGCAAATTCTTGAAAGAATACTGCTTTGGCTAAAGCCCAACAGCACTTAATATTACAGCAGTAGATAAGAGATTCTCAGCCCTGCCAGAAGATTGCTTTACAACACAACAAAACAAAGAAATTAATATTTACCTCAGTAAAAGAAATGGCATGATCCTTCTTCAGATGAAAGGCAGAAGTGTGAAGAAGCAGCTCCTGCAGATGCTCATTTTCTGGGAATTCCTCTCTGGCTCCAGCTCCCAGCTGCTGAGTGCCAGTGCCTCACGTTGGGTGATAAACAAACACCTCTACCTGGGGCTGTCAGATTTAATGCAAGGATGCAGAAATGCAATTGGCAGTTTTTATTTGTGTGAGATGCTTTCATGAGGCAGGTTACAAACCCCAAACTCTTGATTTTGTTACATCACTGGCGTTTACTGGATGCAGCAGGTTTTGCAGAGGCCAYGAGCTGGTTTCTGTTTTCAGTGCCCACTTGGGGAAGAGCAAATAAACACAGTGACAGCAGCCCTGAACAGCTGAGAGCTTTGTATTCCACAGCACACCCATTTCCTCCTCTTACTGTCTGAGTTTCTGGAACTCAGCAGAATCAAGTGCCAAGTTATTCTGTAACGACATCCAGACTAATTTAATTTCCTCAGAAGGAGACATACAACTAAAGCAAAGTTACTGACCAAAATTTATGGTGGAAGATGGAACTKCTCATTAGTTTTAATCTTAATTCATTTCAGATCTGGTTCGAGATGGCTTTAGAGAACACACTCTCCTCCTGCAGCACTGCAAAGGTCCTGAGGGTGACACAAACCGAACACAAAATAAGGATTCCTTGAACACTGATAACAGGACTGCTACAAATAGGGCCCAGGAAAGGTTACCAAGGCTTGAAACCATAACAGGCTCAGTTTACACCTATTCYCTGGTCCCAGCAATGGAATTTCTTTCAGTTGTAGCAGCAAAATCCATCTCCCATGGCTGTAAACAAAAGGGCAAAGGACTAATTGCACCCTGAACAAGGGTGCTCTGACTGCCCACAGTGAACCCAGGGTTTCACTGGGGTTTGTACTCTGCTCCACAAGAAAGGCACATCAGTGCTAGGGCAGGAKAAAAGATAAACTGACTTCTAGAACAGCTTCCATCACAGCCTTTCTTGGCTGCAACTTACCATCAGCACAGAGCTGAGTGTGACTTCTGGGAATGCCTACAATTTACAATAAAAACCAACACAATCCAGTGCCTACTGATTGCCCTTTTAAAAAAGTATAGGCTTCGTAGGAACCCATTTTCTTTTTGGATTTAAAATACATTTTCAGCATTTTATTGTGATGCAGAAACACTCCAAACTTTTACTACAAAATAACTGCACTGCTGCATTCCAATACCTTTACAGTATTTCCCAAATTGTTCAAGAATCACAGTGACAATCTGCCATTAAAACAGCCGTGTTATCATTCACACAATTTTGCTTCTTTTGCGTAATTTACTCTTTAGGTTGCCCCATGTATTACATAATTTATGACCCTTGGTTGGCAAATTACCTGGAAGATTGGCACGGAGTCACACTGAGGTAAACACATCTACTACCTGCTTCCTTCTTGAAAAGTGTCATTCCTCCAGCMTGGATAAAAACTTTAGCTTTTCCAAGTCCTGAACTACACCATTCTTTAGAAAAAAACACCAAGAAAAGAAAATGGAAGCACWTCTCAAAATTTAGAACACTGAGCATTAATCTGTCCTGTTACTGCAGCGATTTCTTCCAGGAGTGTTTCAGTACTTCAAGGGTGAAGTTTTATCCCCAATATTAACGAACCAAGTATGACTCAGTCATTACCAAAATGAACTCTGAAAAGGAAGGAATTAACTATTTTTCTACAGGTGAAACAACAGACAAAAGTTAAACGTACTTTTTAAAAAGTATTTTATCACCCTTTATTTCCAGGTGCTTCACAGAGATATGACAAAGTAAAGTATCACAATCAGTTTTATGTAAATAGAAAATTAATATCAACAAGTTCCAAATCTCTCTATATTGAATACAATCAATTATAAATAAAAAACCATGCATTAAATTAAAGCTTTTTTTGTATTATAAAATACCATGTGACCCCATTCTTTAAGACACTGATTTTTTCACAAATATATAACTTATATAAAAATTACAATATACATTCTAACTTTTATAATGTTTATAATGCATTATTGCATGGTGAAATAAACTTTAAGTGACTCTTAAGGATACATTTGAGAAGCATTTCAAAGTGGTTCACTATAAATTAATAAAACCATGTCTCACAATAAAACTTTTCCCATGTTTTATATTAATTTTTCATTGTAACAGAATTGCCTGTTGGGTGTGAAATCTTCAAGAGACCAAGTCAGGCACATGGTTATCCAGAAGYCACAAGCATGGCATCATGTACATCTAAATCTGCTTTTTTAAAGCCATTGCATAGCAYCTTTACTAGAAATTACTAATACACACATGTGGCTACAGCTCCTTGCAGTCACCTGTAAAGCATTATATAACTGCTGGAGGTTCAGATGTCTGAACTGAAAACAGAGAAGACACCCAGCTAGAATATAAAACTTTCCAGCCTYCTCTCCCATTATCTTTGGCTGCAGTTAGGGAATAGTCGTTTTTAACTGTGCCTGTTTTACAACCAAAACCCCTGATTTTAACCCCACTGTGTGGGRATAGTAAACAAAAACTGTTGATACAAATGAAACAAACAGGAAATTATCCTGCCTTGATCTCAGCTGATGAAAAAACTAAAAAGTGACAATAATACYRTCATCAAAACAGACTGGTTTGRGTTGAWAGGGACCCTGAAACCCATCTTCTTCYACCCCTTGCCAYGGGCAGGRTCACCTTYCACTGTCCCAGGTTGCTYCAAGCCCCATCCAACCTGGCCTTGGACACTTCCAGGGGTGGGGCAGAYACCTGGCAAACCCTGAGCTGGAATAAACCTGTGCTGCTCACTCCTCTCACCCAYCACGAAGAAATGACACAGCAGAGAGACTCCATTCTATCAGCTACAGAACTGCATCCCTCATCCTGTGCACTCAGAGTGGGCAGGAACACTCATTTTCAGTTATGTCCCAGAAGATGTTTAACTCTGAGGTTTAGTTCTATCCCAATGTTGCCCTAAGGAGTAATTTGGGACTGAAATACAGCCCCAGGACRGCTTTGTGTACCAGGGCCATGCACAGCATGAACAAGGTCAGGGGCTGCAATGGAAGGGGCTTGCATGGAACACGTGACTCCTGCCTGCCCAACCAAGGAGCCAACAGACATTCTGCAGACCAGAGACCCCCACCTGTATCACCAGATTTCACTGGAAATGCCCTCAAAGCATGGGAAGTCCCAGAGCAGCCTTTAGAAGGGTCAGTGTCCTAAGGGCAGATGTGCTGCTTCAATAGCAGCAATCCAAGGCAGCTCCTCTCCTGCTCCCAGGAGACCAATTCCTRGGCACAGCTTTCACTATATCCTGAAAAATCTCACCACAGTCAACTCCTGCAAAATCCAAGCAAATCTGCATCATCTTACCTTTCCTGCTGACTTGCTGCAGTAGCACATCACTCAAAGTTAGAATTTAACAATTTAGGAGTAGAGCAGATGGGTTTTTCTTGGTTTTTTATCCAGAATATGATCAAAGGGAGACAGATAATACAATTTCTGGCATCCAGTCATGCACTTGAAAATGATAATTTCTTCACAATTTTCACTTATGTCTTCATCTGTTTCCCTGGAAATGGTATCTGAAGCCCAGCCATCTAATTTTTCTACTCCTCTCTCTCTGTGATGAAACACTAAATTTGTCATGTCCACGAGCTCTCTGAAGATTGATTTAATATCCTCTGATTGCTGCCTGAATTCTGACAGTTGCCTGGGCCTTTAAGAGATGATTAAAGAAACAACATATTAAATCCTGTCAGCTGCCCAGGCAAGTTTAACTAATAGAATTCTTCTTTTTAAACTTAACATTTTCTGACTTGCACTGGACTCTGTGTAACAAAGACCAACATYTACCCTGAAATTTGGATTTTAAAATGGCAATTTGTTTCTGAACCATCCTAAAAGCTTTCCTTCTGTTACKCATTCAGCATTTGTGCCTTGTGCACATTCCATCCTGCAGCATCTCTTCACAACTTTGCTAATCTCACAGGGATACCAGGAATTCTGTCTGCCCATATTYCACTGGTCATTTGCCTTTGCATTATCAGCCTTGGAAAAAGGAATCAGGTTGTGAAATATCTTCTTCTGGACAGGAGGAGCAAATATTCCCATCACATCCCAGTCCTGAGAACAGCAGCATTTCAGGCTTTACCCTTCCAACCAAATTATCTGTTCATAAGGCTTCTCTTGCTTCCCCCTAAATTTTATARCAAGGCCCATATTTTCATTAATTGAAAGATCATCAATTGAGGGATCAGTTGTGTGTTTTTACCCAACGTCAGTGACATTTGAGGACACCAAAGTCCACAAGGACTTGTTTCCATTCACCTTTGTGAAACAGGCAAACAGTAACAAATTATTCTGTAATCAAAAAAGTGACTTTTACATAAGCATTAAAGCCAATGCTGTTCATAAGAGACAACCATGGAGATTTTAAGRGTACTCAGACCAGAAGGAACTTGCACTTCATTCCAGAGCTAAAATATAAAAGATGAAGAAGCCTCTGCAAACCCCATCCTTCACATTCTTCTTTCAGATCAATGAACATCTGAGCCAAAGCAGAGATATGTTTGCAGTTTCAAATATCCTTCGTGAAGTGACATTTATTAGCAAGTTTGGCACAGAGAAACCTCATTGGGAGAAGACACTGACAAATCTTGTTTTCTCAGTGTCTCACTAATGACACTGACAATGAGTGAATTCCCACTGCTTATATGGAATCAGGAGCAAAATAAGCACTAAAGAGAATCATGTAAGTCAGTAATACAAATTGGGAGATAAGAAAATATCTGATTAAATTGTACCTCACAGAGTATGTATTGTAAAGATTATTTCTTCCCTTCTTCCCTCCCCCTTATCTGTAACATTTTGCAGTTTATAAAGCAGACTTGGCTTAGCTTCTGGTACTGTACATGTCCACATCTTCTGGGCTGGACTGACCGTGGTCCATAAGTTTTGGATCAGGTTTAAATTTTGTTTTCTTCATTGTTCCTGTTAGAGATGGTAAAGAAATATTGTTAAAAAATATGSATATATTTGAGCTGTAGGGGGAAAAAGCTTAGTGATACATTTTGAGAATTTCTGTATCACCAAACACTTAGAAAAGATCAAAATCAATCTGTTCTTGTTCAAAGTGTGTTTAAAAGTGACAGAGGAGGATGAGGGCTTGTTGCAATGATGAGCACAGCAGGARGGCAGGACCTCCTCCCACTCACTCWCCAATRCCACTTCCTAAGAGCAGAGTGAGAGWAGTAGTGATGCTTTGCCCAACACATGGAAAGGAAGGGAAAGTTTGAAGCATGRAAAATCATCTCCAGTGTTTCTTGCCCCATTGCTTCCAGGAGCAGAGCTGACTCCCAGAATGAACCCTGCCAGATCTCCCCTGAAGCTGTTGTCACAAGAATTCCAGATGAAGACAAACACCCTTACCTAGTTTCACTTCAAGACTTCCAACACCCATGGACTGAGTTTAGTAAAACACTGAACCCTCCCACTCACCCTGAAGCTCACTGCACAGGCTGACATATATAATGATACAGTTCCAAAGGTTCTAAAGAAATACAAAACCAGGTTTTCTGGGGCTCTGCCTCCTGTTCCTGATCTGYTTCTTTTCCAGCTACATCAGCTGGTTTAACAAAGGGTGTTACATTCTCCTGAAAGCTTTGCCCCATTTGGATGGAGAAAATAAACATCTCTGACAACACAGATTCATTTAGGGCATGGATATTTTTGGCTGTATTAGGGACATGAACTAATTCTACCTATGAAAGTAAAGAGAGATCTATRTACACAAACCCAATAACGACAGTTTGGCCTGAAGCAAATGTAAAAACAGATCAAAGCATTCCACAAACTAAAGCAGAAAAAATTCAGGTGCAACGCAAGGATGTGAAAGCATACTATAGTGAAAATAAAGGGAAAAAATATTCATTCAAGTATGTTCTGCTTGCTTTCCAGAAAAAAAAAAATTTCTGGCAACAATTACTTCCTTCCAAGTAATTTACTTGTAACAAATAAAATTCAGAAATTGCCCTTACAAAAGGTAACAAGATTTTAAAACAAATTTAGCTCTCCTTTGATAGGTAATTCCACTGTTTTCTCTTACAAATTGAACATCAAATCTCTGTCAGTTAAATAGGCTGTCACATGATCTAGCTGATTATCTCAAGCACTGAAGATGCACAAGGAACCACTGCAGAAAACCCAGCAAAATAAAATCCAACACTTCATTTCTCAATTGCACATTCCTCTTTCATTCCATTATGGGTCATCTCTGCATTGTTAGCAGAGGCTGAAAGTAATGAAATCCATTTGAAACTTCAATCTTCTGATTATAATCCAAATCAAAACCTTTTTGTGTGTTTTGCATTTGGATTATTCCTTAGTTTGGCCTAMAAAAGAACCTGGTTTACATTAATACTGATTCTCTGACATTACTGAGAGAGAACAGCAAATACATAATTCTGATACTATGACAGGGTCCACAGTGAGAAAATTATCACCTTCCCTGAGGCTCTGAAATATGTATTAAATGACAGCATGTAAAATATGCTCTCAAGAATAATATGCACTGACAGTCTGCTCCAGTTTAGAGCAAGAGTAAGTACAAAATTAAAGCAACTAATTGGATTTGCAAGTTGCCCTGAGATTACACTTGAAATGTTTAATTCACCTGATGAAGGCACTGGATCTTCATTACTCCAAGACTCTACTGGAGAAGATTCTGTTCTGTTAAATGATCTTGACTCAACAGCAGACTCAGTTTTGGTATTAGAAATTCCTTTCTTTTTCTTCTCTTCTTGCTTAATTGGTTTTGACTCTTGCTGCAGAACCAAACATTAATAAAAGAAAGCACATGRGTATATGCTCAATACATTATTGCAAAATAAAGCTTTCAAGTCTGGGAGCTTATATTTTATGAAATTATTTTTGGATATGACATCATAAAATGATACTCAACTACTCAGCTGCACACAAGGGACACAGTTGAAAAACGTAAAATATATGGAATCCCARAGATTAGCTGGAAATAACTTTAAATTCATGTATAAGGGAATTTGTCCTGAGTATATACTTAGGTCTGAAGCTGTGGTTTTACCTGAGACCCTTCAAGAACTTCACAAGTTCATTTCCAGGTGAGGAGCCTTTAGCCTTACACAAGACTGAAACAGCACTGAGTGTTTACAGAACACTTACTACCCCTAGTTAGCAGAAGATGGMAAGATAAATCATGGTAACAACCTAGTGATGAAAAATAATATGTTTTGGGAACAGGCTTCACTCAGGGAAAAAAAATGAAGTTAATAAAAGTGTCTGCACCACATCAATTCTTGTTTCGCTATCAGTTTAATGACRGTTATCTGAATTTCATTTTCAAAACTCAGAATTCCATTTGTGCTTCTCTGAGGAAATAAAAGGTGAGGAATGCATGCCAATGAGCACTGTAAATTGAATGCAAAATACTTCTACATGTTAATGTAATGAGAAACTGAAATTTGCTTTGAAAAGAGCAACAAAAAATTACTGTGCAAAGCTGAAATCTTAGTCAGGGAAATGCTACTTTAGTCAAGGTTTTTGGGTTTTTTTTTCACTTGAGAAAAAACACTTTCASGTTGGATAAAACCTATATTTAATTCTGGATTACTAACTCAAATTTCATATGTTATTTACAGAAAGTTAATATTGCCCTCTTTTCACTGCTGGCTCAGCTGTTTACACACTTCACTTAAAAACCACAAACAACACAAACCACACAAAATCCCCTAAAAATATAGAAAGCAGAGAAACTAGAGGAAATTCAGAGGAGTATAAGAATCATGTCAGAGTTAGAAAGCCTGCTCTGTAAGTGAAGGTTATACTGGAGGAAAGAGTGCAAAAAGCCATGRTAACTTTTTCATATGTAACAGGTCAATATAAAGTGGTTACTGACCATTTATTCACTATGGCTGCAATGAAGACAGGGCAAGGAGAAGAAATAAATCAGACATGGACAATTCATATCATAGGGTAATTCAAACAGATTTCCTGCAAGGGTTTTAGAATAAGCCTTTCACACCTACTGTAATCCTGAGTGCCTTTAGCCTCAATTCAGGGACTGCTTAAGACCAAAGCTTGAACCAGAACGGATCCTTTCTCAAGATAAAAAATGAGCTCTAAGAGAAACTCATTCTTCTCTTGAGCACCCTGCATGTATTGGGGGACTACAGAGGGGATCTCAATACCTGTTGGTCTGAAAGGTGTAAGAGCAATTAAACACWGAAGTGATAAAAAGGACAGATTGGGGTTCATGCCTTGCTTAACGCAATCAGTAAATCTCAAACAGCATCAGAAGAGTCTCTAACTTTCTAATTGACCTTTCTCTTCCTCTTAATGTATGAGTTTTTGTACTTTTTGTACTTCCCAAGTCCTACCTTTGTGACAGTTTCCGTTTCTGTCCACAGTGACCTCACAGCCTCATAGGTCTCRTGACTTGCACAAAGTAACTTTTTCGCTGTAACCTATTATTCAAGAAAAACAATGTAACAAGAGCTTTAAAAATACAAAGACACACACAGCATGCACATGAAATCAATCATGTTTGCATGAGAACATACTTGACCCCCTACCAAGGCCCCATCTACTTTTCAAGATCTAGTACATATTTCCTTTATATAAAGCAAATTCTGAATAATGGTTAAATTGGTATTAGGAATCCATAGGTAACATTTCCATGCTAAATCCACCTACTCCAAATGAGTAAAACTAGATCAGCAAACAGTGTTCTGGCAATTTTGGCACATGAGACTGGATCCAGTTTTAAAGGATTCACACTTGTCTCACTGTGCTGGACATGACCAAAGATAAACCCAGAAACTCACCTTAGCAATGACCACTGACTGGGCAGGGTAACAAGCAGAATATCCTACAGTAGTAAGTCCCAAWGGATAAGCAATTTTCTTAAACACAGAACCTGTACAAAGCCAAATATTTTGAATAATCAGACAATAACAAAATGCAAAGCTAAATAATTGTAGCAATTAAATGCAGGAGATAGTGACATTCTGAAAGAGAAACAATCCCAATCTAGGTTTTCCAATATTGTGAAGAATGAGAAGAAYAACTGTGTCATTAATCTGTCTAATCCTGCTCGGTCAGCTCTCAGCCAGCTTCTGACATCAATGCATAAWGTTGCTTCAATTTACCAGGAAGGATGGTTTTTTACTCACACAGGCCTCTGCAAGTGTTTCAGAAAAGTACTCTGAGCAACAAAACTTTTACAAGCTACATATTCCACAGACCAATAAAGAAAACAAGCAAACCCTACCTTTTCTTGCCAGCACTATACCAGCCAAGCCTGACAGCGTAATTACACCGGCTTTGGGAAGAAAATCTGGGGGAGGGTTGTTCAGGTAAACATAAGCATCTAAAAATTGGAAAAAAAAACCCAAACAAAAAAAAGAAGCAGAGCAATTCAATACCAGTAATTTTATTTGCCACTTAAGAAAGTTTTGATTTTACTGAGAGTTAATATAAATTAAATGAGACAGACATGTGACTTGCCTACCTTTTCCAAACTGAATTGAATCCATKATTCCATTTTTAACAAAGACGTAAGCGCTCTACAAAGGAAAAAGAAATGAAACCAGATAGTAAAATCTCTGTAAATGTAGCTGTTTATATACGGCTTAGCACAAAGAGAAAAAGAAATACTGTGTAACTTAACAAAAACATAAACCAGATCAGTGACCTTCTACAGAGACTGGGCAGGACAAATATATTTCTAAAATTTCCAAAAAAAATCTCTAATATAATCTAACTTTTAAAACTGACATCTCAGGAACTGTAGAGCAGGAAAACATCTGGATGCCAGAGACATAATATAAGAAAATTCAGTTATAAAATTCAATCTCCTCTTCAGTAGAGACTCTCCCAGAAAAACTGTTTGGGAGAGCAACACGGAATTTGTACCACCAGAGGTCACTGCTACTCAGTGTTGGGAACTCTCAATGATTAACGGCATGAAAAAGTTTGGTAGATTTATAACGAGGGTATTTCAGTCATGCAGTCACTGACAACATYTTCACAGACCAATGGAATAATTATTTACAGAAAATACTGGAAGACATTTTGAATTTTTTGCTGTTTTCAAACATTAGGGTCTACTTTGTAAGGGCAAAACGCAAACATAAAATTTCCTCTTGCCAGCAGCCAGGGYAAAGCTGCTGTTTCCCAGCAGGTASGRGAGYAGTGTCAGATACCACGGTTCCCTCTCCACTGGAACACTCCCAATAGAGTTGGGAGGTATTTCTGGTCACTAGTGAGGAACAGCCTGCTTTAATAGGTACAAGGGATGCACTCTGTCTTTTTGGTCAGGTACTGCCCTTTGGAAGCAGCTCCTTCTCCATGGACTGCTGGAAATTCAGAATCTGGAATTTCAGACTCCAAAATGCCCTCAAGTTCCACCAGCAAGAATTTACCAACCCAACTGCTGCTGTAGAAGGAGGCCTCATTTTCCCATCCTAAATTATCTCAGATAAGATGAGAAACTGCAAAAAAAAACAACATCCAGGAGGAAGTAACCTGATTTTTCAATGGTTTAGTCTCATGCTGTGAGGAACTGTAGGAAGCTCTGGGTGCAGGCATTTCTTACCTGGCACCACCCAAAATAGCGGCTGGTKGTCTGTCGCACTGCTGAGAGCTGCTGCTGCAGGTGCCCAGGCTGCTCCTCAATGTACTTTGACTTCAGAGGGGGTGCACTGTAAATTGGGAGCTGCAAACAAACGCACAACTGTACAGCAGGGGGAGAGTTCTCTTTTGTTTCAAGCCTGCAAACCCTCAGTGTTCTCATTAAGACAAACAAAACCTCTACATGGTATTAGTAACTCCTAGAGTTCCAAACAGACTCCACCCAAGTGTGACTTCACTCTGAAATGAAAATTGAAACAACTGTGCAGGTTCTAAGAAGTACTGTGAGAAAGTATCTTTCATTCAGCAAAGGCCTGAGCAAGAATAATTAGAAAATGGATGTGTATATTACTAGAAATTGCACGTTAGAAAAGGACTTATCTGTAAGTATTCTACTTTGAACTTTTCTGACTTAATTGTTGAAATACTAAAATAATGAAAATGAGATAAAACTTTACTAAATTAGTATTGTGATACTTTATGTTTCATTTGAGCTATAGCAGTCAGTTATTTAGTATCACATATTACTTTGCTATGCATTTTCAGTACTGGTAATATAATTCAACAGAAAGAGCTTCTATTCTGCAGATTTTTCTAGCATTATTTTAAAGACCAACAAAGAGGAGGATTCATACCTTGTCTGGCTTCACCAGCTGACTTTTGGATTCCTTTTCTGTTGCTGCATATACAGTAATACATATGAAAGGCAGCCCAGAAGAAACAGCTACTAGCTTTGCCACCTGGGACAGAGAGATGAAGAAAGGGAGTCTTAATGCTGAAATAAAAATTTTTCTTGGGCTTGATCAAACAAGTCACTTTTAAAACAATTTTTAAGCATTCTGCCTTTTAGGAACATCTTCTGAYTTATACAAAGGTTTTCTCAAATTACAATGGTAAAGAAAACGTTAAAGATCCCTGACAAGTTTTATGTCTAAAATACCAGGAGAAATTTTGTGTTCAAAGCCACACTGATGCTTCCATCACCTGTCAAGGTAAATTCAGTTCTAATTCAGGAACTCCAAGTCAATGAAGGACTCATTTCAGCAAAACCACGTTGATTTTATTTGCTGCAGAAAAAGAGCGAGCTCCTTTTCCCACAGAGGCTGCCAGGCAGGGCAGTGACCCTGGGCAGGAATTTGTGATCCTACTTAAAGAATAAGAATCATAGGTTTATTATTTGAAATGCTTAAAAAAAGCAAGTATGAAGATTCATGTCAGAGCAATGTATTCATCAATTTGACTGGGAACACTGGAAAACCTGTCTAAATATTTGTGAGAAAGCCTAGATCTTCACATGCACTTTTCCTCTGTTGAAAGACAGTAGTCTGCAAGTAATCTACAAGCAGAGATATTTTAGATACTTGTAACCCTGTTAGCTCGTATATTTAGATAGTTGTAACCCTGTTAGCGTGATTTTAACAGCCCYGTTTCACGGATGTACAGCACCAGTAGCACTTTATCATGTTACTACCAAACTATCATCTCGATATTCCTCGAGTTGAAGGTGTTTCGGGGGCTGCGAGTACATGAAGAACCAGAAGAGAAACATTGCTTTTATCCTGTTGAACAATTTAACCACTTCTCGAACCACCTCYTTCCCCTCAACTCCCACACCACCACCACAGAGACCGCTCACTGCCCCACTCCTTCACCTGACCCCGGCTTCCGCAGCACCCGGGGCTGCTTCTCCCCCGCACCGCCGGAGCTCAGGCCGGGCCGGGCGCTCCCGAGGGGCTGCACGGAGCCGCCCCGACCCGCGGAACCCGCAGGGGAGCGCAGCCTGAGGGGAGCGCAGCCTGAGGGGAGCGGAGCCGCGGAGCCGGGACAGCGCCGGCCTCACAACGGGCGGACACTCACCTTGGCCGCCATGTTGGACAGCGCCGCGTACGGCGCGCGGGAAGGGCCAAAACGGGCGGGGCCGAGGGGCCGGGGCGGGACCGCGCTCAGGCCGGGCGGGATCGCCACAAAACGGGCAAGAATGGGTTCCCTCAGACCGGGCGGGATCGCCCCAAAACGGGCAAGAATGGGTCCCCTCAGACCGGCCGGGATCGCCCCAAAACGGGTGGGGATGGTTCCCCCTCAGATCGGCCGGGATTGCCCCAAAACGGGCAAGAATGGGTCCCGTCAGACCGGGCGGGATCTCCCTAAAGCGGGTGGGGATCGCCCCAAAACGGGCAAGAATGGGTCCCCTCAGACCGGGCGGGATCGCCCCAAAGCGGGCACGGATGGCTCCCCTCAGCCGGCAGCATTGCCCCAAAGCGGGCAGGGATGGATTCCCTCAGCCGGGGCGGGATCGCCTCAAAACGGGCAAGAATGGGTCCCCTGAGACCGGGAGGGATTGCCCCAAAGCGGGCACGGATGGATCCCCTCAGCTGACAGCATCGCCCCAAAACAAACAGAGATTGACCCCCTCAGCCAGCAGCATTGCCCCAAAGCGGGCAGGGATGGATCCCCCTCAGCTGGGTCGGGGATGGCGCCCAGACCGGGCGGAATCTCCCTCAGCCGGCATCGCCTTCAGCCGGCATCGCCCTCAGGCGGGGAGGGATCCCCCTCAGCCGGTATCCCCCTCAAATTACACAAAATCCCCCATAAACACACAGTCTAAGTGCAGATAATTCGTTTATTGAAGTCCAAATTTACAACTGAAGTTTACAACTTTTTCTCTTCCCCCCCCCCCCCCAAAAACAAAAGCTTTGTTTGAATTTAGGAAGAATAAATGTTTTGTTTTTGTTTCTGTTTTTGTTTTTTTAATAATGTACAGACTATATCTCTTAAATAAGTTAATATCTTTGAAAAAAGAGCAATATGTTCCTTTTTTTAATGTTGCAGTGCAACTTACAACTTACACGTCTGTGCAATGTACCATGAGGTATATGCCCAGTGAGCAACACACAGTGAAGTTTTCCATTCATAAATTTTCATTGTAGACACACAAAAAGTTAACAAGTTATTAATCTGTGATAGAAAAAACGCAGCCGGTTACAGTAATTCACACAGAACTCATCTGGAAAGAGGGAGAAAAGAAACCTAATGTTCATTGCCTATAGAAACTATTGGATCATCTCTCAACATAGACAAGTATAAAATTAAAAATACTGTCGTGAAACTGAAGAAATACTGTATTATCCAGGGGTTGAAAACCATTGGTTTTCTCTCTGTAGCATCCATGAGCTGAGGGATTTACTGCGGTATCGATGGAGCATCTGCTCATCAAAGCGCTAAGCACAATGGGCATTATAGAAAAGTTGCAGAATGCTCAAAAACTTACAATTCCAACATTTTCCCTGGCATGGACAGGGGGTTTTCCATTCCCTCTCAGGTCATCTCCCAGCTGATTAGAAAAACAAGGCTGAAACATGGAAGATTACTCGTATTTGAAGCTTGACACTTCAAACTTCTTGAGATGGCTCTAAAATACTTATTTTTCTTAATGACAGAAAACATATAWTTATTTAAGAAAGAATCATCCACAATATAACTTTGTGATAAATAACAGTTCTGCCTCTAATACATATATACATACTGCTTGTAAACAAAAATGCCCACAGGTCATGGAGTCTCCATGATTTTTATACAAGGCGCTATAGATTTTTTAGGTTTTTTTTTTTTTTTTTTTTTTTTTTTGAAAACAGTCCTAGTGAAAGTTTGGTTTACAACCTCCTATTGCTACAGAAACGGTAAGAATGTTTATATTTACAAAGAAACAAAGACCATGGAGACCCCATAGCGTTATTTGCCAAAGATTTGAAGTTGGTGGGGTTTGCAAAATACACGTTTGTCAGCACATTGGACAGGTTGAACACCAGCAGTATGAGACTCCAGTGCTTTGGTATTTCAACCCCTGAATATACAAAGACATTACTACAGCCTACTTCACAGTTTAATGCAAGTAAAGTGCAAGCCATAGTACAAGGGTGTCATACATTTCCATACATGTAAGCGTTATCTAAAAAAGGCTCTATACAAGGTTTATTAGCTATTTAGTAACCTAGACGGAAGTCACCTATGGCCCAGCAATTAATGGTCTTACAAGGATATTGTCTTTGTAATACAGTATGTGTCAAATGTAAAAAGTTTATTAATACTAGTGCATTTCTCTTATATCCTAACCTGTTTTCTCTTCAGATTTTTATGCTGAAATCCTTGTTTCTCAGTAAAACAGAAGCCTTAACTGGTAACAGGGTCTTACTGGTATTTTGGCCAGTGAACACAGTTTGTTAAGACGTATTTGTTCTGTGGTTGCTAGTGAAAAAATGCAATAGTTAATATGCATTGTGACATCCTTAGTTAATCTGCAGCATTCGGACAGACGCATTTACTGTTCGTAAAAAGATCTGTATTGATACCCTCACCAACACCTGAGGATGAACGATATTCTAGAAATGTGAGGACAGAAGCTACAGGGCTTAGCTGGTCAAACAGCAGGTTGTTGGCAGATTTGATAATTTTTACTACATTTCTTTCTTACAAATACTGCTCATACAGTGACATTAATGCTTAAAMTCCCTAATTGTCACTTCTAACACATGTATGTGTTCAATAAAAATAAAGATATATCTGTCTGGCCTGCATTAAGAGTGAATATGGTTCTTTTCCTGAAGGCAGTTTCTGTCTGAGTTATTTGAATACTTTTAGTAAAAGGAGGTCCCAGTAGTACATCACCTATCTTAAAACCTGATAAAAGTTTAAACAATACTATTTATAAACCTTCTTCTGAATGTGCAAGTGTGGCACGACCCGTAAAAAATAGAAAATAAGCTTTAAGAAAGGTTTCTTTCTCTATTAGTTAGAACCCCAGTAGAGAGTCCTCTGCCCACACGTTACAGTGGAGCTGATCAGTAACACCACATTTCGCTTGTGTGTAATGAGGGTAGAGAAAATAACTATAAACATCAACTAAGAAAATACAACTCATTAATTTTGGTTGAAATAGCCATGTAATTTCCATCCATCAGCTGATATGGCCCAGGTGGGATTCTCAGATCTGTGAAAATCTCTCTCATCAAGAGCCTCAGCCACACAGTATGAATTCATCTGAGAGCAGAGGTAGAGGACCTCTCCCCACAGCATCCTGCCTGARAAACCTACCCTGAGCCTCAGCTTTAATAAGGAAAACATTCTGGAAGAAAAAGAGTTCTTTAATCCCAAATATAAATGAATAGTTGATATTGCTTCCTCCATCTTTCCTCTTAATACCCATTTTAGTGGCAAATAAACAGGGYCAGCAGAGCTATCCCACCTCAAGGATCAACAGCCCCCAGCTATATCACCATGGTCATAGATACGGCTATTTTTTGGCAGAAAAGAAYACTTTTGGAAGACAGGTAAGACCACATGAGGAAAGAATATGGCAAATAAGTTATGTGATAACCTTGGCCTGATTTGCATTACTTGAGACAAAGAGAAGAAGAATTTTCTTTGTTCTCCTCAGATTTGTGTTAAGTTCAACAATTTCTACCAGGTTGTTAATTTTTCTCCCAGAAGTCCTATTAACATTTAAAGTGAAAACTCCTAAAGGTCAGCAGCAGAATTCTACAACTTTTGAGGAGGCTGAGCCATTCCCAGTGCCACTGTAAAGTAACTCCTTCACAGGTACCTTTCCTGACCTTCACAAGACCTTGAAGAACGAGTGTTCTGGCCTGGAAGGCTGTAACTGCTGAGAGGAGTAAGAGCAGAGTTAACAGGCCATGTACAATTCTCTGCAACACTCATTTCTTTTTCCTTGGAAAAAGCCATGGAGCGCCACATTTCCAGCTCAAAAGGCAGCAGCTGAGAGCTGAATATACTGGTAAGAACCCCATCCTCCTTCTCTGATTTTTGTTCGTGTCAATTAGAGCAAGCTCAGGGTAGTTTTCACTTAAAATAATGAAACCAAGAGAAATGTCTCGGTTCTCTCAGGAAGCAATGCTGAGAGAGCTATTAAGACACTTGCAAAGATCTGACATGTCACTGAATACAGAACAGTATTAAAAAAGGAGGGGAATCAGTAGCTCAGGGGGAGCATTAAATCAGTTGTAATGAAAAATAGCCAGTAACCAAAAGACTCAGCTTGTGGAGTGTCAGAGAAAATCTGTGGGCTGAGGCATTTTACCTGCAGGAATTCTGAATGGAGACACTAATAAGATCCAGCTAAATAAAACATATCCAAACAACATTTCCATATTGTTGTGTATGCCAAAAACCAAGTTTTACCTGAGAATTTAGGCAGGAAAACTGGCAAATTAATAAATGTATTGTACTGTACTCTTAATTGCCCTTGATGAACTCAACAGCCAAGCCTTGTTCTTTTGTTATTTAAAAATATGGCATCAAAACAACCACAACAATTCCAGCTGCTTTGTACAGTGGAACATACATACCTATTGGTCCAGGAGAATTGGACATATTTTAATGCATAAGCAGGATTTGGTGCATGAATTTTTAAATACAGTATCCATATTGCACTTTGCATTCCAGTGAGTCCAAAAATTGTGAAAATCCAARTAATTGTGCAGTGGTGATTGTGCACTTTACTCCCTGCAGTACATTTAGATTGGTACCTGCATCCAGAAGGAAGAAACCCATGGCAGGAGGGAAGGGCTGCAGGGTGGAGTTGGTACATGTGACAGGAATATGAGAAGTCTTTGTGAGATGGCTTCCAAACGCCAGCTGGCATTTGTGAAAGAACAAAGTCTCTGTATTGCTTAATTTAGCAATTAGATTTTGCTYGCTCTAAGGCACAAGAAGTGCCAGACAAATGTTTCAAACTTTTCTCCCAGATAATYTTAAGCCCATTAAAGGGAATTTCTCCAGTGTATCTCATCTCMTTTCATCTCATGAATCTCCTGGACAATTTATTTGGCCTATTCAGTGCAAATCACATTTGCTGAGAGCTGCTCTCCAAGAGCAAAATGCAGACTTGGACAGCTCCAAGAATTTCAGAAAGTATGATCTCATGACACTGAAAGATTTTGAAAGACAAGCTGAGTGACAGTATGAATTCTCTACTATTTATCTCATCTATTCRTATTTCATAAATTGTATTTAAACTTAAAACTGAGATAATCTATTTTCCCTACTAGTTCTGTTATTTCTGAGAAATATATCTTCCCAATTATATTTATCATTTTCAATTATGTCTATAAGTGTTATTCTGTTTACTTGTGACTTCACTGAATGTGCTCAGTTCTGTCTTGAGTGACAATAGTGATATTTGAAATCCTTTTGGAAAGTGATTTGAAAATAATATAGATCTTTTCATTATGAAAGCACAAACCATCTTTTGGGTTTGAAACAGAAGGCATATTTCAATTTCTTTAGGAATTTAGAAAGTTCAATCTAWTTCACTCTTGATGTGACCATTCCTCACTGCTTGCATGTATAGTATGAGATAATTTCTAAATGGATTCTATAATTTACCCTGTTGCTTGCCAGGAATGAAGGAATGGAATTGAGATTGGAAAGAAGGGACGAGGCAAGGGAAAGGTGTTTTTAATTTTATCTTTGTTTCTTACTATGCAATTGTACTTTGAATTGTTAATAAATGCATTTTGCCCAAGTCAGGTTAGTTCTGCCTATGATAACCATTAGTAGGTGATCTCCCTGTCTTTATCTYCACCCAGGAGCTTTCCCATGACATTTTTTCCCCCRTCCAGCCAAGGTCAGCCCCCCCACCCCCAGCTGCTCTGTGGAGACAGAACTAAACACACAGGACGCTTCACCTTGGTCTGGCTTTGGGAATAATGAAATCTCTTCCTGGATACTGAACTCACTGAGATAACATTTTTTTCCTATAATATATTGAACTGCATGGTGTCACAGTCCTTGATGTATGAGAGACAATTAGGTTTATCTTGTGAAGAAATTATCAGTGAATACCTGTTTCAGTGAAATGACATCAGCTGTATTCACATCCTCTTCATTCTGCCTTTTAGAGCTATTCTAGCAAGCAGAGTCAAAGCAAACTGTGAATGTCTTTGAAATCTATGCTCAGTAGCATCCAGAACAATCTATTTCCCCCCCCCAAGAATACAAGTATTTTTCCCAAACTCTGATTCTTGCAACCCGTACTCACCCAGGCAAGGAAGTGAAATACACTGTGTGACTTGTGTGTCTTCCCAAACCAATCAATACAGATTGGTTTTCAAATGATGTTTTGAATAACTTCACCCACTTGCAAATGTACTGCTAGCAGTTAAAAATTATTGCCAGACATTACATAATTTTGAATAATTAACTCAGCTATATATGTCAGTCTATCACAGAATGTGATTGATTAGTTCAGGAGGTTTTTTTTTAGCTTCATTCTCATGCTTTTTTGAATTTTGTGACTCACAGTCATGTGTCACTTATATTCACAGTGAAGAAACGATGAAAACCTGCAGTATGTACCTTACTCAGTGCAGATGTTTTTTTTTTTTTTCTTTCACCATGAAATACTTCAAATTCTATTAAAACCAGTTTAAGTTGCAGCATTAGTGAACAACCAATATTGTTCTACTCATATCTTACCTCTGTGCCAAACCTGCTTGCTCGTGTTCCTTCGTTTGAAAGGCAGGCACAGCACGTTACAAACACAGTATTTAAATGGCATGTACAGAGTGCCCATAGGGCCAGACTGGGATCTATTTCTTAGATGTACAGTGTACATTTTAAGGCACACTATAGGGATTGAGTTTACATTTTGATAACTCTGTCCTTTTATTTGCAAAGATGGTCACTACCTGGAAATGTTGCAAAAATAAATGTTCATCTCTAAGAGTGGCCAATGGATTTATGTCTTCATTTTTCTATTTTTGTTCAAGAAAAAATGTGTGAAAATGTGAACTTTAGGGCATTTTTAAAGGAAATGTCAACTACCATGTTACATTTTATATACATAGATATGTGTTTATATATATCTAAATATATAAAATGATTGTAGGAACTCATACTATAAGCTGAGTTTTAGTACAGTACTTTAAATATACTGGTATTTATTTTCAGTTACTCTTCTGCACCACTTCTTTCTAATGCAGAGCTTGATACGGACATTGGTTGATAACAGCAAACTAAAAAACTTCATAAAGAATATTATTGTCTTATCATGCAATGTAGTAGGCATCCTGTGGCACTATTCTCTTACCCAAGTATTTACAGTACTGCTGAGTACCTTATCAATAAATAYGACAGTGTTTGTCTGACTGGACTGGGCACCCAGCTGCACCTCAGGCTGAGGCTCCCGTCACACGTGGGTCTCGATGAAGGAGTGCGTGTGTGTCAGCATTGGGGCTGAGCTGCCCAGTTCAGAGGCTCCGTTTTGAGACTTCCCAGCAGCACTGTACTCACAAATGTCCAGGAAAAACTCATAGTTCTTTAATTTCCAATCTTTGAACTTCTTTGATGTTAAGTTGGGRTCATCCAGAAGGCTGTTGATAACTGTGAGGTCCCCTTCCTTTGCCTGGCAAATTCCAGAAAGACAGAAGACATGTCAAAATGAAACTTTGTATCTCAGCACTGTACTTCTCCTTTCACTTCAATGCCAAGCACCAGGGAAACAACTATGGAAACTTTTACATTTACCTACATTCTGGAACTATTACAGCATAAACTGTTTAACAACTTGGTCTGTGGCACAATTTGCCTACACAGAGTGCCAAATAATCTCCTTTTTTTTCTTAACCTGGAACATGTTTGCTTTCAAGGATTTTTAGTTTCTTTTAATTGTAAAGCTACCAAAAAAAGGATTAACAATAGAAATGTAAAGAGATTAAGGACATGTAATGGTGGGACATGGGGAAATGTCTTTCTGCTGCCAGAAGGCAGAGTTAGGAGGGGTATTGGGAAAAAACTTTTCCCTGTGAGGGTGGGGAGGCTCTGGCACAGGTACCCAGAGAAGCTGTGGCTGCYCCTGGATCCCTGGAAGTGTCCAARGCCAGGCTGGAAGAGCCTTGGAGCAACYTGGGATAGTGGAAGGTGTCCCTTTMCRTGGCAGGGCGTGTAATGGGATGAGCTTTAAGGTCCCTTCAACCCAAACCATTCTGTGATTCCACAATTAGACTCTTCCTAGTTTATTTTCCTTGTACCCAAAATCAGTGATAAAGGCTTACTTTCAAAGTGCTCTTGAGAACTCGGATGTGGTGCAGCTTTTCATTGATCACTGGGTCRTTACATCGCTTCACAAAAGACTTGCGGAACTCCTGCTTGGTGGAGGGACGCTGCTCTCCAAAAGCTGACAGACTGGCTTCTTCCAGAGTTCTGTAGAGCTCTTGCAGACCATCTGTGGTTTCTTCAATTTCTTTTATGTTTTCTGAAAGAAAAGAAAGAAACGTAACAACAAATCCGATGATTCAGATGAAGTCTCTAAAACCAGCAACACTGCAACTTCATGAATGTATTAACCTATTACTCAGTTCTCTAATTTTTTTTTTGTTTGTTTTTGAAAAGACAAGAACATTTGGATCATCCCAAAGCTCTATTCTTACTGCTACATCCCGGCATTTCAAATACAAATTCCTCTGTAGTGATGGATAAATTTGGAACATCCAGCATTCAACCACAAAATCCTTGCTGAGAAGTGTGGATATACTGCTCTGGATGACAGTAAAGTGGATTAGAACACCTTCCAGAGCTCACCTTCTGCACAGAAACTATTGTGCCTTCTAATAGGAACCTTCTCTTCCAGATTGTCATCGGAACCTTCRATGGACTTTACGTGTCCCTTCCCCCTGACGTCTCTGTTTCGGGGAAGGCTTTGGCTGCGTTGTTTCTGGGGCCGGCCATGGGAGCTGTGTCCCCTCGGRCATTCCACCAGAGGGAACGGCCCATCCTGCTCAAAATTGTGACGCCTCTGGACGGGCAGCGTGGCTTGTCTCCGTCTGTCCGGTGACATTCCGGACCGGCCACTCATGTACTCGGCCTCTGGAGGGACAGTYTGAAGGAAATGGAGCCCTGAACTGGTTAAGGGAGTCTCTATCAGGTCCTGCCACGAGCGCCGTTCTCGGTAGGGAGGTCTGCACCCCGAGGAGTGTGTGCTTCCTGCGACATCCTGCCGCGAGTCCTCGGCAGAAGAGTGGGAATACGTTGATTCACTGGAAAAGTGTCGACCTTGCTTGGCTTCAGGGAATGGACTTGAAGAGTTCACCTGGAAAGACACAAAAACATCTGACCATTAGACAATGTTTTGAACAGACTCGAGAAAATGACTGTAGTGTAAAACATTTTGTGATRTCTAGAAATCAGATGGACTGATGGGTTTGATTGTCATAACATGAAACACTGTAAACAGAAGAGAATTAGCAGTGACAGCCTTTGTACAAGTGCAGTTTTAAMCACTCCCTATTCTTGTTTTGCACATTCTCTGCCCACGAGCAACTCCTGATGGAAAGAACAGTGTAACACTGGTGCACATTTCCTGAAGACCTGTCCAGCTTACACTCAGTCCAGCTGAGGACAATGTAAGTTTCCAAAAGAAACCATAATTAGATTTCCATTCTTTTTTTTAGGGGCCAAACAGAAAAAAAAAAAAAATACAACAAAAAACAAACCCAAACAAGAAAAACTTCAGCAGCCAGAAAGATTTTTGGCKGGGGGACTGGTTGAACTTGTGAAAGAATTTGAATGAATTCTGCTGGGCCTGTGTATAAATTTAATTCAAAACAAAGAGAAAGGCAAAAATGTGGAAAAAACAGAAAGGGAGGGGCTTAACCTGTATCCCAGTTGATAAAACAGCATCACATGGGTGAAAATCAGTCTGAACTTCACCCATGTGATGCTGTTGTCTCAGTCACTCTTTCTTTGGTTCTGGCTGTGTGAGGATCGTGTCATTCACGCTGAAGAAAAATCTGAAAGAAAAATAGAGAACAGTCCTATCTGTGTTTAGAATCATTGAATAATTATCATAATTGCCCATGTTTTGTCTAATAGAAATGTTCAATTTGTAATAGTGTCACTACTATTGTATTGTACACAATCTTGTACAAAAACCCTCTTTCCTAGAAAGATACATTCTTCAAAAAAGAATTAAAACATGATTACTGCGTAAATGTGAGCTGATCTTAATCTCTAGCATCCAATATCCAATATTCATAATTGAAAACCAGTTTCAATTAATACAAACTATCCCATCCACCACATTCTTTTCATATTCTGCAGTGAAGCCAAAGTTTGAATTTCTGTTCCTATTATGATGTGTAGTTTCAGCCATCCTACATAAAAAGGTCATATTTCCAGTCTGGTGACAGATCTGTGCCAGGAGACATTTACCTCTCCTTCCTTTGCTACTGATTTTTGCTATGGAAAATCCAGGTATTGGCTCACGAGGAACAGCAGTAATTTCATTCTTACAATCATATCTGGCTTTGTTCCAAGGTCTTTACAGTATTTAAATATCCCAAACCGAGAAAAGTGGAGGTCAAGGCATACAGATTTTTTTTTTTTTTGGTGACCTCCAGTCACATGCAATGTTTGTGACTCACTGAGGGGGTTCGGTGGTAGGTGTCACACAGCGTGGAGGAGCCCTCCTGCTTCAGGGTGAGGGAGCCATCGATGTCRTCCTGATCGCTTTCACTCCAGTAATCTGCTGACAAAGCATGCCGGGTTTCACTCGTGTGCTTTTCCACAAGAAAGCAGATCCCACATTTTAACAACATCCTTCCATGGCAAGGAAAACATCCCCCAATCTACAGAGCTCAGCAGCCACTGAGAAACAGGCTGGTGGAAACTCAAACACACAGTGAGCACAGGAACCTCTGAGGGCTTTAGGGAACTGGTACAGAAGGCAGCTTGGGCACCTGACTCCCACTGYACATAAAAACAACTYCTGGTCACAGGCTTTCAAAGAGAAWCCTCATTCCAGATGCTGAAGGGGAGCCGAGCCTGAACACTTAATTTAATTGGGCATAACAGGTTCCGCTGTGGGTGATGGGGAAAGGGCAAGGCTGGYGCCTGAGCTCAGGAGGTGCACAAAAATATTGCTGAAGCATGCATTGCCCTGAGTCTGTGGTGTCTGCACTGATTTTAGGGGCATGAGCACCCCTGAGGGCAGGAATCTGGAAGATTACACCTCACCCTGAACCCCACATTCTCTTTAGCACTAATTTTAAATATTTCCTAAAATTACTGCTTATTACTTAATTTTYTTTGGTGGTGGTACCAATAATGTAGTTCTCCAAAGATATGTATTCTTATCAAAATTGGTATTTGAAAAGATATGGCCATTTATTTACAAAGAAGTCAGTTATGACCTCTCCAGCTTGGTTGAAATACTGAACAGATTTGTACTGTCTGCTCTCTTCTCCTAATTATATTCACTGAAACATTACCTTCATCTGGGTGAATATCYTTGTCATCAGGTGTGTAACCAATTGCAGCGAGACCCAAACGATTCATCCACCTAACAGAATGACAAAAAATGAGAGAGAGAGGTATTTAAAGGAACATCTCGTGTAAATCTGAGGTTTATGTACACATTGTCAACATCTGGAAAAGTTAGAGACAAAGCCTAAAGCACTTCAATATTTGAATTTCACGTTGGATATGCTGGTTTCTTTCTTTGTGCCCAAATTATTTTGATAGAATATAAGATTTTTTTTTATGAGGAAAATATTATTATTTATTTTAGGGAAAAATACCTTTTGATTTTTCTCTATGCAAGATTACTGGATGTTTATGCAATACATAATTGAAAAACGAGGGGGAAAAAAGGAAATTAATACACAGAGAGAAAAGTCACTTCATAATGTTCAGCAAATGGAAAATGAAGAATTATCTTATTTTCATCAATAAGGAGATATAACTGAAGAAAAAAAAAGCCCTAAGAGTAACATCTATAATGCCTGGGATGTTTTTAAACCATTCCCTCACTTGATGATTAAATTATTTACTATGTCGTTAATGTCCCGGGATACTGATGTGAAGGTTTATCTAGAAGCAGCTGTTTTTTTTTCCTTTTTGACATTGCAGCATCAGATTTGTTAATGATTATGTTCTTGGTTAATGAATATTATAATAACAAAACCATTTTTCACAGACCTCGAGTCAGACATTAGCGAACAATAGACAGAGCATCAAAAGGACAAGCTGTTTTGCGGACTAAAACAAGAAAATGRTTCAGTGTAATTCTTTCCCACTTGTACTAGAAGAGAAAAAAACATTGTAAGGACATATGTGACTGTTATTGTCCAGGAGAGCGGTGTGTGGGAGATGGGAGGCACAGCAAGGAGGCACAAAATGAAGGAAGAGTGAACTCTCCACTAAAAATAGAGCAGAGTTCAGCACGTATTGATCCCCGGCTCTCAGCGGCCCCGCAGAGGCTCTGAGCAATGATCTTAATCTGTACTATTGGATACAGCCTTGACTCACTGCACGGCCTGCAGCAAAGCCTTCCACAGATYTTGACTTTCCTAAGTAGCCAAAGGAGACAAACACATTTACTTCTTACAGGGAATCGTGAGAGGGTTTAATTTACTTGCAAAACTATGAAAATAAAGAACTGTAAGTCATATTGCTTTGCCTCTCACTATTAAGGCAGAAGTGAGCAAATTGGAAATGAAAATGGAAATGATGATTAGTTTTCCCAAATACCAACTGCAAGGCTAGGGCTGCTTACAGCCGTTGTTTGCATCAGCTCGTCAATAACTCATTTTTATCATGAGGGAAGTGCATTTAAAATGGATTAACAGATTTACAGAAGAGCTTTTCTACAGTGCTCCCCAGCATCATTTCCCTCAGTAAACCAAGCGTTGATCGCCTGGCATTTGCTTTCCTTTGCAAGGCAGATCCTTTATTGCAGGAACGGCAATGACATCATTCCCTGCTCGTCATTAGGCATTTGTATTCACCAGTTTTCCATCAGTTCTTCCCGAATTCCTGAACTCATTAGCATTGGAGCAAAATAGTTTTAGTCATACTTTGCCATATGCCTTTGGCAATTAAGTGGATGGCTCAGTGCCTTCAACTGAGGTTCTGCTTAAGCAGCAACGATAAATTAGGACTAATTACCATTTACCAAGTTAAAACAGACTCAGCCATTTGGGTGGTCAGTGCATGGAAATTTATATTGTCTGAAATGTCAGGCAAACTTCTCTTGTTGCTTGTTCATTTGAGGGTCTCAGGTCTTGGAAGCAAATATAGACACCAGTTGAAGTGTCAGGATTAACCTTCCAGAGCACAGGAACATTCTTGGGATACCCTGAGTATCAGCTTTACACATATGGCCTCCATGGCCAAATCTGGAATTAGCTGAAGTTAATCTTCCTTCTCTAAGGCTGCTCAGGCTTTTCTCTTCCAAAGGCCCAGATCATCTCCAGCTAWAGTCACAAGGACTTTCTTACCTCATTTACCACAATTCAGAGTCAGCTCTTTGTCAAGCCAACATAAAGGGTTATCTGATGACATTCAGTGGCTTATCATGATAAAATCTCTTCTGATAAAAGAAATAGACTCCRCATTTTAGGTTTTGCATTTTTTAAAAAAGCATGAGTGAATGTTTTTGAGGTTAATCAGRAGGTATACAAGTGGTGAGATTACAGCTCATTTTTTTACAGTTAATTTTTTTCCCCAAGGAAATGCAAACTCAGTTCAAAAGGAACCCTGCATAAACTTGATGAATTTCCTTGATGAGCAAACCACTTTCATTTTTCAGAAAGCTGCACTCAAGGTTATAAAAAGCTCTTTGTAGAGAGCTTGGAAAGGCAGGCAGTTGGTACTGAACTCTGCCCTGAGTGCCCTGTGGGCAAATGTTGGATTTCAGGGGAAACTCCAGTCAGAGCTGGACTTCCCGAGGGATGGAGGATGCACATCCCACTAAGGGTCAGAGCTCTGTGTGCTGCACAGCCCCAGCAGCTGCTGTGCCCAGTGTGGTTTCTAAAGCTGTGCCCCAGCAGCTCTTGGGCTTCCCTGTGGTCAGGAGGACACCTGGGCTGCTCTGGTGGTGGCACCTTTGGGATTTCACATCCCTGTTCCTCAGCCGCAGGGCAGAAAGCTGGGCTCCTCCCACCCAAAYCCGGCCTTTTTACTATTTCCTTTTGATAATTAAACAACTCAACCAACACATTTCACTGAGTTTGAGGCTGGGCCACCCAACAGAGCCCAGGGTTTGCATTCCAGATGGAAATTGTGATGACACRATCAGCACTGAWTGTCCCACGGATGCTTTGCCACAAYATTATACTTGCAATATTGTACAGATCCCCATAAGATGTAATCACTGTCTTGCCAAGGCACGCTGTAACGACCTACAGGGGACCAAGAAGTGGGTTMATTGTGTTTTATTGCCTGCACTYCAGTKAACCAAAGGCAGGGGAAGGTGAGCCTCAAGTAAAGTTGTCAAAATGCACAAGGAAGTTTTGTACTTCGTCTCAATTAAATTCTAAATAAATCAGACTTGGCTTTAATTAATTCTGTTGGTTACAAACAGGCACTGTTGTCATTGCTTTGGGATAAAACAGAGCTGCCTGGTAGTATTTAAGTTAAATTTACTGAGATAATTCTGGTTATTACCCAGGAATTACAGCCCAAGGCTGCTTTTGAGAGTYTGATTCTGCCCAGGCCTGGGCTGTGATCAGTGAAGGCACCAGGTCAGTGAGGAGCTGAGGAGCTGCTGCAAGAGCCAAAACCTGATCCCAAAGGGTGAATCACGCCTGAAATGCCCCAAATTGTCAGGAATCAGGAGCACTTTCACTTACTGACAGAAACACTGGGAAATGTTAAAGAGAGACAAACAACTGGGAAACAGCTGCACATTGCTTTGCTCTCCTAACTGCGTTAAAACCAAGAATATGCCATTCCACGGTGCACAAATTAAAAAAAGTTTCTGTTTCCTGGCTGTTGCAGTTTGTTCCTGCTAAGCAAGGGCTGAGCCAGCCCAAGGTCAGTGTGAAGTTCTGGGAGTGAAGGCAATAAAAGTTTCCATAGTGGCATCACACTCACTCCCTTGGCTGTTCCTTTCTACAGTCCAGAATGAAAAAGAACAAATAAAAAAAAAAATAAAACAGCTTAGACAATCTCAGTTGTCATAAACTTGAGAGAACTATTTGGTTTAGTGTAGGAGAAGGAAAACCAAGGGCAAGAGGATCACTTTTTTTTTTTCCTTCCTATTAAATGGGAGGAAAGCTATAATTTTTAGGTTATAGTTAGAACTGTTCCATAAATCCACAGAGAATAAGTCAGGAAGAAATGAGTTCCTGTAGCTCTGAAAAGTTTTGTTTGCTAATATCCTCCCTTATTGCACATACCAGGTGGCTGGTTATAGAAGAAACTATTGAATTCTACCAAAAAATATAAATAAATTACATATCCTGAAAAGGTGTAAATTCAAGAAAAAGTCCATCCACTTTCACTATATTTCTTTCTGTTAAATGTTCCTTTAAACATTAAGTCTATGAAATCCTGAGGCATTAACAGATAGAATAAATAAAATACATTTCCTATATTTCTTACATCTTTTTATCATTAATTCTTGCCCTTGTATGTTATCTCAGCTTTGTATTAGAAACGTTTCAATGCAGAAATAGATCTTTCTTAATTTTTGAGATTGCATCTACACCTGAGATTATTTGGTTGAAAGGAAAAACTAGAACTAAAGTGGAAGTGAAATTTCACTTGAATCAAGTTAAGTCTCTTAAAAYAGAGATTCCCTTGAACCATTTATTCCCTACATAGAATTTATTCTGTGCAGTTTATATTTCATTTCTGAGCAAAAAAAAAGCTTTGTATTAAATTTTTTTACATCAGTGGGATAATCAGATTCCAGAATTCACTGTAAAATTCTTTTGATACAGAATTAGATTTAAAAACTACTTTTGTACTTATTATGCTGACTTCTCTGACCAGTCTTTCTCACTGAACACCTGAAAAATCAACACACTTCCCATTTAGGTTCCAAAAGTACATTATTTTCACTATTTTCTATGATGATGCAGGTAATATATTCATTTAAGAGAAGAAAGGCTGCTGTAATAAGGGTGGCTGAAATGATGCCTTGATTTTCCTCCACACAAAAGAAGCTCCAAACCACCTCCCAGTGAATTTAACACCGAGCAGATCCTTTTCTATGAGCTCATCTCTCCCASAGTATCAGCCCTCAGCAGCCTCTGTTTCTGCTATTCCATTTGTCACAGTTGCTGGGATTTGTTAAGCAAAATCATTCATGGGATAAACTCTAAGTACTCTCTGATTTGATAATTTGACATGACTGTTGATCTTGTTTCATGCATTGTCTTCTTAGATTTGTCAGGCTGGAAAAATAGGAAAAAAGCCCAAGACAGCTTAAGAATTGACAAGTGAACCAATCTGTGCCCTCTTTGCATGTGCATCTACTTCATGCACTTAATGGGATTTTTTTTTTTAATTTTTAATTTTTTTAACTTTACCCTGTCAAACAAATGCAGAATTACCCTTCTGTACTCAGAAGTCTGGTTTGATGTAGGGCTTTTTTGGTTGTTTGTGGTTTTCCCCAGTAGATAATAGACAAAAGAAATTCACTGCTTTTGTAGCAAATAAATTACACTTCTGGTAACAGCATTTTACTGTACAAATATAGTCGTGTGTCACTGAGAATAAAAGCTCACAATAACTGAGGCTGTTATTTGATACAGAACCCATAATAAACCCTAAGGAAATCTACCAAAACACTCACAAACTCACTCAGCTGGAACTTTTCCTTACTCACTTATTCAAGTTTTAGCCCAGCTTTCACCAAATGATTGGCCCAAAGGAAAGCTCTGGAGAAAGAAAACATTCTTTACAAGCAAGAGGATTGAGCTTAGCATGACCTAAAGTATGGGTGGGGGGTTTGGGGTTTAGAGGGAAATTTTTTCAAGAAATGGAATTATTGTGAAATTGGGTGATTCTGTATCCACATAGTTTTTAAAAAAATCAGCTCAAATAGGCCAAATAGTGTTGTTAAATGTCTGGCTATTTCATATTGATGTTACTTTTTTCTATTACTAAATCATCATATTTGGCAGAGTTAACTCAATATCTCCAGGATAACATCACAACATGGATTGTGCCTTCGTCTAAGAGAGGTGCAGAGCTGGAATCACTAAACTTGCTCTATGAAATGCAGCCAGAGTGTCTGGCTCCCAGAAGAACTCTATCAATTCACCCTGGTACTATTTACAGCAGAATTTGATTAAGTTAATTTTGTAATTTAAACTCGTGCAGAAAGCAATGCAGATCCTGCCTCCTGCACGAGGGATGAACTCCCCCTGAATGCTGATTTGGATGGTGCTGGAAAATCACAATTGTGCATTGCCAACTCCACCAACCCATGGGGCTCAGACTGAATTAGGGGGAAATGGTGCTTCACAAGTCTGGGGTAAATCATTCCTAAATCCTAGAAAGGAGGAGTCAGGTGACTTGCCCAGAAAAGGGGATTTGGAATATTCCAGCTCAGAATTCCTGGTGCAGAATTTTCCCCAGCAGGGCACAGCAGCTCCACTCTCACCCTGTACACTCCCATAAACATCATAGTTTCACCCAGTCCTCGGGGCCTGCAGCTCTTTCTGATCAGAAAATTGTTTTACTTGTGCTGCAACTTAGGAGCTTTTATGTGAGAACAATAAATYAGAGCACTGACGTGGCCTCAGGCACGGATTTGAAACAAGTTTATGGGAACATAAARGAAGAAGGGAAAACCTGCTCTTTATGTTTACTTACAACACCATTGGGACCCCCCATTTCAGGGATTTCTGTTTGAAAAGTGCCTTTCATAATTCTGCAGAATTATCTCCTGGCTTTTTATCAGGGAAGGGGCTGAGAGGAAGAGCTCTGTAACAACTTACTCAGCTCTATTTGATAAAGATCTGTTTAATTAGGCCAGGCAGATCTGACAATCTCCTGCTCACTTGTCCAGTTTAAGAGGGAAAATGTCTAGTAGGGACTCGGGTCTGAAAGTTTTTGTGGCCAAGAGCTTTCCTTAGGTGTTAGTTAATAAAAAGGGGAGACAAAGTAGATTGAAACTGTGAAAGATGTATTAAYCCTGKCTCACCATCTGATGTGGCCAAGACYTGTCAAGGAGATCAACATGCCCAAAATTTAAGGGAKAAAATGGAATTAACTTTAGTAATARACAGGATGATTTAGGGAAAGTCTTGAGTAACTCACTTGGTTATACTCCATACATAAAAATAGGAGAAACCATAAAATTTGCTAATGGTCAATAGGGATTTAATTCAGAATACTTCAATTTTCAAACAGTTTTATTTTAAGAGAAATATTGTGCTAGAATCTCTCAGGTCTGGGAAAATATAGGAATGCCCCCTACAAAAATCAATCATCATCTCGTTCCAGTAGAAGTATTTGTTATATTTTTTGAATGAATGCAGAAGATTTATGGCTGTTATTAAAATTGCAAAGTTAACCCAGTTATTCAAATCAAATGTGATCACATTATCCAGCCTAAAATAGAAACTTTAAAAAATTTAATATTTGGAGTCCACGATGAGATTGCAAATGCACTGCACTGCCAACTTCAATGGCATGTAAGTTTTAAATAAAGTAGATATTGTAAAACAACCGAATATTAAATTCAATGCTAATTAAAGCCATAAACAGGTTATGTGTGGTGCAGTAGGAGATGAAGCACTTCTGGGAAATAAAGCCTTTAACAAGCTTGGAGTACCAAGCTGGAGATGAGCTCATCAAGTTCATTATTAATTCATTTCTAAGAACATGGCTTTGCTCGTGTAAGACCTGACAAAACAGCACGAGCATGAATTTTGCAAACCCRAGTAACACAGCAGGCAAAAAATGCAGCCACAGCTGAGTGCCTCACTCTGCTACAGAATAATCCATCCCTACCCACTGGGGTCCAGCTCTTCCTTCAGCAATGTGGGGTCAAAAGCACATTAAAATATTCCAGAGTGGAAAAAAGATTATTAAATGGTGAATCTGAGGTAAGAAACTCCAAAAAGAGCTGTTAAAACAAAAGCTGGTGGTAAAGGGGTTGAAGAAAGGATAAAATTCCCTACRTAGTGCATGAAGAAKGTTCCTCTCCATAYTAGGACTCCTACACTTCCCARCATGAAGGATCTCCCCTTCTCTCAGCACAGAAAATCCAGTTAAATTCTGTGGTGAAAATGGGAGTAGGAGATACCATGCAAAACATTGTCCTATTTCTTCAGATTACATGGTTGAAAATTTGCTGGGGAGAGAGATTTGTGAGATCAGCATTTTAAAGTCWTTTTTCATCTATGAATCTTGCTTCCTCATCTCACATTTCCCATGGGATCTCTGGGAGAAGCAGTTCCAGGAAGGCTGTAAAAGCTGCAGGGATTTCACAGAGGTRGCAGAGTTATCCATCATTTGGGTGGGGAGTGAATTCCAATTGCTCGACAGGGACAGCACTGCTGAAGGGGAAATACTGTGCAAAATACTTCAAGTAGAAATTCACCCTTTGCCTGCTTCCGTGGGAAGAGGACCCAAAAAATCAGGAAAAAGGCTCTTGTAAATTCCAAAGTGAATGATGTGAAGGATGGGATGGTGTGAAAAGTCACCCTGGCACCTTCCCAGCTGTTCCCTGCTCAAAGGGCTCATTGCCACACCAGCAGCTTCCTGGGCTCTCCCCATGGAAAAATCAATGGATGCTGTAAAARCAGCTTATTGAATGCATGTCAAGAYTTCCYGGTTCTCCTTGAGTCAGAATGTTTTATGTATAATTTATAGATATGATCCATGGCACTTCAACAAACTACCCCAGCAGCTGAAACCGAGGGAGAGAGCAGGCAGAGTTAAACCAGCAGAACATCCTCGSTTCACTTTTGTTCAAACAAACCTGAGCCACACCACAGAACTGAGAAACACAACATAAACAACTATGAATAAATATTTTCCAGCAAACTTACACCCTAAAAGTACAAGTAAATACCCACTCCTGATAACTGAAACTCATCATCCTCATCAATGGATGATGAACAGCCCTGAACTGTTTCCTCCAGCCAGGCTCACACCCCAACAATTTCCTGATGGGCCAGATAAACCACAGAATAGAAATGTCCAAATCAATGATATTTTTTAGGCCTTAATATTCCAAAGGAAAAAAAAAAAAAACCCCAGCTGTATCTGTCCTTCCAAACTGGCAAACAGTAAGAAAACCACATCTCAAACTTTTTGTTATCTGTGCCAGGAAACATTTAAGACTTCCCAGCATGGTGACCTTGTGCTAGGTGTCCTTGCTTCCCACCTCAGCTGGGAATAAACAAAATTCTGATCTAACAGGAGGAGGGAGGACATCTGAGTGTACCTTTTGGGATCTAAGGCCTCGTCCCACCTTCACCCCACCTCTYCCTTCCCCACTGAATCACAAAGGAGAAGCACAGAGTAATTTGGGTTAGAAGAGTTCCCAGGAGGTGTCTGTTCCCACACCCTCCCACACCAGGGCCAGCTTTAATGTTGGATCAGATTGTCCAGGGCTGTGTCCAGTCAGGGGCTTGGAWTGCCCTCCCAGCACATCCAAGGACATTTAAAAGCTCATTTCAATGCCAAAAATTGGAACTTTGCTCGTCTCTGCTCTGTGTTGKRWT